TGTTTGTGATGAGAAGTCTGCTGTGATTCTGATAGGTTTTCCTTTATAAGTGATCTGTCTTTTCTCTCTGACAGCTTTTAATAATCTATTCTTGTGTTGGATTTCTGGGATGGTGATTATTATATGTCTGGGTGTAGTTTTATTTTGGTTATGACTATTTGGAGTTCTATATGCTTCACTGATCCTGATGTCAGTTTCTGATCTCATGCTTGGGAAGTTTTCAGCTATTGCTTCTCTAAATATCCTCTTGATATCCTTTATGTTGTCTCCTTCTTTTTCATTAATCCCTATCATTCTTATGTTATTCTTCTTTGCATCATCTTGCAGTTGTTGAATTGTTGTTTCCTGATTCCTTGTTGTTTTTAAAAGATCTTTCCTTTCCTGTTCACTAGCTGCAATCCTGTCTTCAAGGTCTGAAATTCTATCTTCACTTTCATTAAGGCGGTTTTTACAGCTTTCAGTGGAGTTTTTTATTTCCTGTATATCTCTGTGCATCTGCATTATGTATTCTGTTTGTTTCTTATATTGCTCTTCTAGGGATTCTATCTTTTTGTTTAGTTCCTCCAATTTTTTATCTGTGTTTTCTTTAGATATATTTAGAATCTCTTTCATTTCTTTTATCATTTCTTCTTTTATCTGGGATATTATTTCAAGTTTGAATTTCTTTAAAGCTTCCTGGAGTTGCTTGTCAACTTCAGTAGCTATTGTGTCTGTTATATGAGGAGGATGGGATATATTTTCTTCTAAATACACTTCTCCTAGGGTTTCCTGAGATGGGCTGGAGGTTTGAGGTTGTAGTTTGGTCTTTCGTTTTGTCATTTTCCTATATTTCTGTGTTTCAGGTGTTATTTGAATGCCTCCTCAGGATCTGTTGAAAATCCCCTTCTATGTTTGCAGCTACTGAGACTCTGGCACCACTGTACCCCAGGCCATTGGGCCTGCAGAACCAATGGCCCTTCTCTGCTTGTTCAGAACTCCGCGGTTCCAGACAAGCTGGGCCTCAGGGACACTGTGCGCCCACCTGCCCCTTGGTAGATCCACAGCTCTTGGATCGCAGCCGGGTTAGGGTACTCACCACAGACCACAGTGCCTCAGGAGCCTGTGATCCCCCCCTGCTTGCAGAGATATCCACAGACCTCCAGACAAAGGAAGGGCCTCCTGCGGGCACTCCAGATCTACCCAGCTCCTCCTCTGCACACAGATGGCTATGCACAGCTGGGCACAGGCCGAGTTGCCTCAGGAACCCGGGACCCCTCCTCCTCCAGACAAAGGAAGGGGCCTCTGCAGGCGCTCCGGATCCGCGCAGCTCCTCCTCCGCACACCAATGGCCAGGCGCGGCTGGGCACAGGCCGAGGTGCCTCAGGAACCCGGGACCCCTCCTCCTCCAGACAAAGGAAGGGGCTTCTGCAGGTGCTCCGGATCCGCGCAGCTCCTCCTCTGCACACCGATGGCCAGGCGCGGCTGGGCACAGGCCGAGGTGCCTCAGGAACCCGGGACCCCTCCTCCTCCAGACAAAGGAAGGGGCCTCTGCAGGCGCTCCGGATCCGCGCAGCTCCTCCTCCGCACACCGATGGCCAGGCGACGCCGCAGTAACTTTAATCGCATATTCCCCTCTCAAGCGGGATTGGTGGGGAGTGCCTGGCCCAGGTGACGCTGCTGACTAAGACCCAGTAGGCTAGCCCAAACCAGGTCCCAGCACCTGGAGGTGCACCCTAGCAGTGAAGCCTTTGGTAGGTTGACCTGGAGGGGTGGGCTCAGCAGAGGCTGCCCAGCTGTGTGTCTCCCTAGTGCACTGCAGTGGGCAGAAACACCTAGCCGGTGCAATTCAAACAAACTGTAACAGACAAAGAGAAAAAAACTGGGCCTCCTATATACACTTGTATGGAAGGAACAAAAAGTAGGGAAGAGGAAGCAACAAGAAAGGGTCCTCAGTCCCCAATCCTGAGAACACTGATCCAGGAAAGATGAATGCAAAGGAGAATGAGGACAGAAAACATGCAGTATCAGACACAGCACCAATAGACATAAAGCGATATCTCTGGGACCTCATAGACGAGTTCAAAAGAGAAGTATTTAATGAAATAAAGCAAGATATAAGTAGAATAGTTGGAGAAATGCTAAGCACCACCCAAGAAAAAACAGATGGTGGAGTGGAAGAACAGAAAAAAGGGGAGAATTATTTGATGGAGAAAATAAAAAAAAAACATAGAATATGTGAAGCAGGTTCAAAGAGATTACCAGGAAACTAAAAACTCTATTGAAAGCTGGCATAACAGCTTGAAAGAAACTAAGGATAGATTATCTGAACTGGAGGACAGATTTGTAATGTGGGAGCATGAAATGAAAAATTTCTTTAAAGCAGAAAACAAATAGCAATAATACAAAGGCTTGAAGATGATAAGAGGATCTATAACTTAAGAACTAAGAACATAAAAGAAGAAGTAGGGACACAAACAAATGAATTACAAAAGCTATTCACAGAAATAATCCAGGAGAATTCCCCTAATTTAGCAAAAGGTAAAGATACTCAGATGTATGAAGCATACAAGACCCCAGCCACCTACAACCCAAACAGAGCTACACCCAGGCATATAATAATCAAAATTCCAGAAATCCAATATAAGAACAGAATATTAAAAGTCTTCAGAGACAAGAAACAGATCGCTTACAAGGGAACACCCATCAGAATTACAGCAGACTTCTCCGCACAAACCATCAAATCACGAAGAGCGTGGGGAGAAATAATTCAAATCTGATTTGAAAGATAATAACCCCCAGCCAAGATTGATATATCATGCACAACTGTCCCTAGAAATTGATGGAAAAACAAGGTGCTTCCAGATAAAGAGGAAACAGGGGAATTTGCAACCACCAATTCAGGGCTACAGAGAATACTGCAGGATATTCTAAAAAAGGAAAATAGCAAGATTCCAGAAACAGTGGCAGAGAGGACACAATGAATGGAGCAGAAAGTGAAATGAAGAAGACAAACTGACAACAAACAACAGAAAAAGAGCTCAACAGAAATGAGGCAGAGAAGATTGGATGGTAGGAACAGCTATTTTGGAGAAAACAAGACATTATAATAGCTAGTGCTGACTTAGTATCATCTTGTTTTGAAGTCCCATCAAACTTTTATTCTTCTGTCTCCATCAGTCTTAACAGGTTGTATCTTATTGGATTTTATTATATGTGATAATATAAGCAAAAACTTTTGTAGACAAGGAGATTATACAGAAACCATTGTTCATTTTCTGATAGTTGGTTCTAAATACCCTGTAATAATGTCATTCTCTTGAATGGTTTTACATTGTCTTGATACGTTTGGTGCTACAGTATACGAAGTTATACTCAAAGATTTCAAGGAAAGAGACACTATGGTAACTACTTTTTGTCAGGATATCTTGTGGTGAAACACTATTTTGCTTAAATGGTTATGCTTTGACCTGAGCTGTTTTGTTGTTATGCCCTCTTTTATCTCAATCTCCTTTTTTAAAATTATTTACTTTTTTATTTTTATTTTTAATTAAGAGAAAAATAAAATAGGATACTTTATAGTAACCCACGTAGATTTCCTATTAACTTGATTTGAAACCCTGTATAGCCCTCACCGTCTTGTTTTGACTGATTTTCTCCTATTCTGCTTTGCTTGATAGTACCAAGTTCAAAAGTATAGGCAACAACTGTGAAGACAATAAGATTCATTATGACGCCCATTCTGGTTGACTATTATCTTCTTTTAAAGTCCTGTAATGTCTCCAATGTTTTGGTTTTATTCTTTATTGTTTTGCTCAATTTTATTATAACTGATGATATAAGCAATTCTTTTTAAGATAGCAAGAGTATGGTAACCATTGTTGATCACCTTATATTTTGTTTTTACATTATCTATTATGTCCATCGTTTTGATTTGACTGACTCTGTTCTGTTATGTCACATTTGGTTTTACTCTCTTTAAAAAAAAGTAATAAGAACTGTGGGAGTAATAAAACTCAAAATGTGTAATTGTTATTGTACAAAAGGAAAAAAAAAGAAAGTGTTCTAAAGGATATAACGCATATATATTTAAGTGTGTAAGATAGATAACCATATTACTGAGTTTTGTTGGATCACTGAACAAAACTGTTTGCAGTCTCACTGTTTGAAAGTCCACTTTATATACTTTAATTTTGTAACTTGAACAACTATTTCTAAGATAACAATATGTAATCTATTAACTAACGATTTCCTACTGTTTATTCTTTCTGAAATTCTGTATACCTTGTACCCTTTTTCTGTTTTTTTTTTTCTTTTTCTCCTTAAATAAAATAAAAAAAGAAGAAAGTGATTGGCCCAGAGGAGATGTGGCCTTGGGGAGGTGTTTGGTCATGAAGGTAGGATTCTCATGAATGGGATTAGAGCCCTTATGCAAGAGATCCTATAGGGAGTCATTGAAGCTGGAGATTGATCACACGAGGGAGGGAGGGGTGGCTAAAGCAAAGCCAGTCCTGAAAACACAGAGAGCCCAAAACAAGCCACAAAAACAGCTGTTCCAGCACCAAGAAGGCAAGAGCCCCAGGCCAGCCAGGCAAACAAGTTGCTAGGCAATGGGGTTGAAATTGATATTCTTCCTCCCAGTGCATGGGGTATATAAATAAAGATGCTACAGTGATTGAGCAGTTCCTTCTCTCCCATCAGGAGCATAAGGGCTCCAGCTTTTGTCTCTTCTTTATTTTTTTCACACTCTCATGTCCTTCACTCCAAGAACCTCGAGAGCCACATGGGTTGTGGCAAGATCCCACTGAGCTGGACTTCACAACTGACCTCATAGCTGACTTCACCTGACCCCAGACTTTCCACATCTAGAGCTATGCAAAACAAATTGCTGTGGTTTGTAAGCCACCCAGCCTGTGGTGCTTTGTTATAGCAACCTGATGAATGAAAATACCCAAGTCTGGGGTTTAGGGCTGTGTCGCTTCTGTATCCTGATGCCTCCCTTTTCAAACATGCTTACACCGAGGTCTGCAACAATTGTTTTTTATTACAAGATGCGTAAAGGTAGGGACGGCTCTGGCCTGGTGGAGGAGACAGAAGAGGGCTGTCCCCCAAGGCCAGGTGGTGCAGCGGCTCCCAGGAGGCTGTGCTGTCAGCTCAGGTGCATAATCTGGCCCAGGAGCAAGCTGCTCCATGTGAGGTGATCGAAGATCATGACAAAGAAGGGATGGTTGAATTCGAACGTGACCGCTGCCTCATACTCCTGCTTTATGATGACCGCAGGGTCTGCTGGTTTCATTGCATTGCTCTCGTCCATCCTCAGCAAGGCTGTGTGGACCACCTGTGGTCAGTCATGGAGGGCAGGAGGTGAGTCCCTGACATACGCCCAGCACTATCCATGCCTTGTTGTGTGGTCACCACTTCATGGAGCTGAGGCAGAGCCTTGGTCACTTGTTGGCTTCTTGCCTGAGCAGCAGCCCCAGGACAAGAATCCAGCACCCTCTACTTCTAGCCACTGTCCAAGCTGTGCTTTCCCCTTGGACCTGTAACATCCTGAACCAGGCTTTGGTGCCACCCAGGGTGCCCCTCCCCATGTCCAGCCCGGGACGAGGGAGACCTTGCTTTCTGCCCATTCTGCTGGAGGAATACCGCATTCAATTCAAGAAAAGTGCCTACACCTACTCTGGACAGGGAAGCTCAGGCAGAAGCTAAACATGCAAATCTCTGTGGCTGTGTTCCTTGGGAAGGAATTCTGCAGTGAGAAAGATGGGCTACCTTGCAGGGAAAGCCTGTGGCAGATCATGGTCTGGCTAATCAACAGGTGACATTTGGTGTGCTCCTAACACTTGTGGGATAAGCCTTTACAGCCAGGCTCCCAGGTTCCGGGTGGCTGTGACAGGCACTGTGGCTGGATTAGGTGGGGCCAAGACCAAAAGCCCCACACTAGGTCTTGAGAAAATGAGGTTTGAGTCAGCAGGCCCGAGGCCAGACTTTCTTACGAGCTGTGTGACCAACAACAAGCTCTTTACCCTCCCTGAGGTCAGGACTTCCTCCTCTGAGAAACCGGGGTGCTCCCCACCTTAAAAGGCATGGCTGATGTGTCTGAGTCTACTTGTCTGCTTGTACAACATGCATTCACCAAGTGGCAACCATCGTGCCTGCGAAGCCCTTGTGTTTAAAGTATGGGGGCCACATCAGAGTGACGAGGTACGCCGCCAAGAGCCTAGCACAGTTGGGGCATACAGTAGGGGTTCAATTCAAAGTTTTCTAAACACATAGAGGACAGCAGAAGATTAGGCTGAAGAACACTGAGTGTGACTGGGTACAAGTGCAGTGTAGTCTCCATCTGATGTTGGCCCCATTTCCTGTTCCTCTGTGCCACGGGCTGCTCACAGAGCCACCACAATAGCTTCACGCTGCACAGCACCCCCTGGGTGGCCTAGTGGGGTGTCTAGGTCCTTGGACATGGCCCATCCTTGTTACCAGCTCCCTGTTTGGTCTTGAGGATGTCATGTGTTCTACACAAGCCTCAGTTTACCTCATTGTAGGTGGAGGGGATTGAACCCAGACTTGGGTTCTAAGGCTGGGAATGAGTGGTAATCATTATTATTTTTATTGTGGATTTTGGAGGAAGAAAAATATAAAAGGATGGGTTCCCCAAGATGCTTCTTACCTTTATTAGCTCCAGCGGAGACTCCTGGGTGATGGCTGAGAAGTTGGCCTGGTTAGAGAACAGGGCTGCAAAGTCCAGGTCTGCCAGCAGGGCGCTGAGGTCGTTGGTGCTGGAGATCGAGAACTTCGGCAGGTACAGGTTCACCAGGCTGCTCGGGACAAGCAGGCAAGGTTAGAAGCCTGGGCTGGGCCTGCCGGTGGGTGGGCGCTGCTGTCCTCCCCAGCCGGACTCCACTTCTTCCTGCTCCTGCTTCCCAGTCTGACCTGCTCACTGGGGACAGGGAGAAAGCAGGAGAGCAGGGCCTGCTGCCCTGCTCCGGGAGGCAGAGCCCTCTAAGGCCTCTGAGCTGCCCTCTTTCCTGCTGGGTGGTTCCTTTGAGCTGATTTCACCTGTGATACAGCTCAACCACTGGGCATCGAAGACAGTGGTCCCTGAAGACCTTCTGACCATAGTGACACCCCTCTAATCCCAATACTCTGGGAGGCTGAGGCCCGAGAAAGCCCAAGTTTGAGGCCAGTTTAGGCAAGTTAGTGATGTAGCCAGACCTCATCATAATTTTTTTCTTTAAAGAGAAAAACAAAACAAGACAAAGCAAGACAGTAAAAGGCTACAAGTAATACAGAGTTTCAAGAGAAAAAAATATACAGTAAGAATTCACTAGTAAATAGATTACATATTGTCATCTCAGAAACAGCTGTCCAGGTTACAAAATTAAAGCATACAAAGTGGATATTAATACAGTGAGATTGCAGACAGTTTTGTTCAATGATCCAACAAAAACTCAGTAATATGGTTTTCTATCCTACACTGTTAAATACTCTTGCAGTTGTATCCTTTAGATCACTTTCTTTCCCCCCTATTTTACGCTAACAATCACACATTTTGGGTTCCATTACTCCCACAGTTCTTATAACTTTTTCTTTAAAGAGGAAAAGAAAAATATATATATAAAACAAGAAACAGGACAAAACAAAACAGAACAACAACAAAAAAAACCCCCAATGTGACAAAGCAAAACAGAGTCAGTTGGAACAGGAGCATGGACATAGTATATAGTGCTAAAAGAGATTACTAGGTGATCAACAATGGTTACCATTATGCCTCTTCTTATCCTATAAAGAGGTGCCTATATCAGCTGGTATAAGAGAATTGAACAAAACAGTACAGAAAGAGACCAATAAAACCCAGATTGGAGACCTTCCAGGAGTTCCAAAGAAGATAATAGTTAAACCATAATGGGCATCATAGAGTTTCTGGTTGCCTTCAAAGTGGTTACCTATACCCTCAAATTTGATACTATTAAACAAAACAGAATATAATAAAATCAGTCAGAACAAGATGTGGAGAATAATACAAGGGTTCAAATCAGGTTAGTAGGAAAACAAAAAAGTTACTATAATATATCACGCTATTTTTAGTTTTCCCTTAATTAAAAGATACTAAGAAATAAATTAATTTTTAAAAAAGGAAAAAAAGCGGGGGGGGGGGGAGATTGAAATAAAAAAAGAGCATATCAATAGTACAGCACAGGTCAGAACCGAACAATTTAAGCATCATTGTGTTCACCACCAGGTAGCCTGACATTAATAGTAGTTACCATAGTGTCTCTTTCCTTGAAATATTTGAGTCTAACTTCGTATACTGTAGCATCTCGTCAGAAATTTTTAAAGAGGGGCGTGATGGTAGATGTATGGTGTTCAAAGAGAAGGTCTTGGTTCACCTCCCAGGGTCATAAAGGAAAACAAAAGTCTTTCTCATTCCCAGAAAGCCCGAGCTTGAAACAGAGGCTGGGAGGGACCTCCGGGGTTCGGGGCCCCAACCATGCCTCCGATGCAGTGTGGCTGGATCTACGCCCTGCCCGCTGCGTGCTAGTGGGTAAGCCCGAGCCGGCGGCCGGGTGCCGGAGCGCTGCAGCTTCGCACGAACTTGCTGGCGCGGGTGTGAAGGGAGGGAGGCCCTGGCTGCTCCTGCCCTTCCCTCCCCTGCCGGTCACAGGAAGGTGTCCGCGAGCCCCAGGCCGAGGCTCCATGCTCTCCAGCAGGGGGCGCCCTCAGCACACCTTCGGAACCACTGCCTTGGTTTTCCAGATTGAGAGGCTGAAACTCGGGATGGGGATCCCCCCCAAAGGTCCCCGTGGGCGGGAAGACAGGCCCTCCCACCTTCCTGCGCGCTGAGCCGCTCTCCGAAGGCGAGGCATGGGGCTGCAGGGTGTGAGTTGCTGACTGATGTCCTCCACCCTGGAGTATATTTCTTTTTTTGAGGGTGGCGGATTATCCCTCGCCTTAACTTTTGGTAAAGTACAGAATTTGTTTGAATCATAGTTCATTATCGTCCCCTGGTGACAGTATACCTAGATTACAGATTGCTTTTGCAGGAGGGGAGGGGGCGAACGGGGTGCAAACTGGGAACAAAGATTTAAGCAACCCAGAGGGATGGCGCTAATCTGTAATCCCAGCACTCTGGGAGGCTGAGTCAGGAGGATCACAAATTCGCGCCCAGTTTAGCAGTTTAGCGACTGGGCAGTTTAGCGACTTAGACTCTGTGTTTAATAAACAAACAAACATGCTTAACGTTGCCAGCCACAGGCTCAACCCTTCTCCGCTGGGCGCTTGTAGCACATACACTGTCTCTCCCCCCACGGCTCTAGGGACTCTGTCCCTCCGAAGATGTTTGCTTGCAGGAGGGAGGTGGGGTCTCCCAAAGCCTCTGGTGACTTAAGATCCAATGATCATTTGCACTGTGCTTCACAGAGTCCCCCAGGACGCTATAGCAAGTGTTGGTTTCAGTAAGCAAAATGGAATAGCACGGAACTGCTTGGCTGGCGAGGCCACTTTAGGAAACTGAAGCAAAAATGTGACCACAGAGAGGGAGGCTATGAAACTCACAGGACAGGGGGACCTCACATGCACTTCCTTGTGATCCATGCACAAGGAAGTAAGCATGACCTCCAGATAGGGGAACCTCAGAGGCTATGAGGCCCCAGCAGAGAAGGCAATGTGAGCATCGCCCACAGTTGCGGAAGGAGACGAAGATGCACCATGGCGACGCACCACAGAAACCGACTGGCAGGGCTGGCGGAGGGCTTACCCACTGGTCAGGGAAATCTCCCACCGGCGGATTGTCTTCCGGCTCAGCCCCTTGATGACTGCGTCCATCTGCCCTTGGTCCGGAAGGATGAGAAAGATGGTCGCGTTGCCCGTGCAGTCCAGCTGCACCAGCCGGCAGGGGAGCACTGGGTCGAGCAGGTATTTCATAGTGCCTGACCGGAACATCATGGGCACTGTCACCGTTGTCGTCTCGTTCACATGGAAGTCCTTCTTCCTGGTGTTTTCTGGGTCGAAGGGGTGTTTCAATATGCCTGGGCAAAGGGAGCAGAGAGCAAGCAGCAGTCAGGCCCTAAAGGGTGGGACATGCCCTCTGAGTGGCCTCCTGGGAGGCCCAGCTGTCCCCATGACCAGGCTACCCAGCAGCCTGCTGCAGAATGTTCCTACAATAACTGCCAGAGACTTCCAATAAGATGCTGCTCCTCCCAGATATTTAAAGCCTGTCCAGCCCCTACCTCTTGGAATGGATGGAGGGTTAAGTCCATTTCTAAGGCTGGCTCCTAAACACAGCAAAGGGTAGGAAGACCACAAGGATGCTGGGCCTTGGGTTTAGGGGTAGGGTTCACCCAAACTGGACTTGGTCTTGACCCCCTGGCTTAGAGTTCTGGAAGTGATGCTAGACCTCAAGCTGCAAATTCAGTGTCCCTGGAAGGGCCCTTGGCTTTGTGATGAACCAACCATCCATTCCATCTGCCCTGGCAGCCTGGACCTGCAACCTGGCCCCTCATGCCAGACCACATTTCCTGAATGCAGAGTTAGGGTGGAAAGGCTCCTTCGGGGTCATGGACTCTCCCCTCTTACTTCTGGCTGGACCACATATACCATGATGTCATTGTCTACCCTGTGTGCTTCAGGATGGGGAACTCATTACCTTGCAGTACTGGTCAGCTCTGATGGGTAGAATATTGCTCCCAAATTGGGCTCTGATGTGGCAGAATGTTTAAAGACACTGGCTGGATCTCACCAGGGTCTCTTTTCTAGCTTAAAGTTTCCCATGTCAGGGTGTCAGGAGAGGGCTGAGGACTCCAGTGGGTCCCAGGTGGCCCTTGACCCCAAGTGCTGCAGTGTCACAGGAGCACTATGTCCTTGCTTCAAGGTGGCCAGAACACAGCTCCAAGCAGTCCCTTCTCTATTTCAGTGCCTGCAGACCCATGGATTATATGGTCACAGCTGTTGGTTCTTGGTGGAGACAATGGGGAAAGGCTGGAGGATGCAGGGTAGCAAGCTATGACACAGCCTAGGGAGCCAGGAGCTCTGCCAGGTCCATCCCAAGTGACCTCTCCAAGTTCCAGCACTGCAAACACTAACTCAGTATCACAGGAAGTAAGGTAAGTTGAGGGTCCTCCCACAGCAGTGGAAGGAAGTCTGTTGTGTGTGAAACTGAAGCAGAGCTTCTCTATGGTGCTTCCTGATTCAGCTGTTTCTCCTGCATGTCTTTGAATACGACTGCAGCACTAAAGCTGAGTCCTGTGGGCCCCAGTGACAGAGCAGAGAAACATTATTGCTATAATGAGGTCTGGGCAACTGCATACGAAGAGCAAAAGTTTCCCAGAGGAAGCAGCTTTTGAGCTAAGACCTGAAGGATAGAAGATGGTTTAGGGAGTCGGATAAATTGAGAGGTGTCCGTGAGACAAAAGGGGGTGGCATTTGAGTCAGGAGGAATAATGACTGCCCCATCCTAATTAGCAGAACCTCTGAGTACTCTGGGTTACATGTCAAGGGGGAATAAAGATGCAGATGGCATTAGGGTTGCTAGTCAGCTGGCCTTGAGGTGGGAGTGTGTCCTGGATGATCCACGTGTCTCCGTGTAAACCCCTGGGTCCTTACGAGCAGAAGAAAAGGGCGGAGAGCCAGGGTCACAGCAGATGTGGTGTTGGGAGCAGCTGGCTTTGCAGGCAGAAGAGACTCAGTTAAGAATCACACACAGCTTGCAGAAGCTAGAAAAGATTTGGAAATGTCTTCTCTCCCAGACCTCAGGAGGAACCAGCCAGGGTCAAATGTTGATTTTAGTCCAGTGTAGTTCATTTTGGACTTTTGCCCTCCAACATGGCCAGATAACAGTGTGTGCTATTTTAAGTCATGAAATCAGCAGTGACCCATTACAACCACATTAGGAGGTTCACTCAGGCTTCCCGGGGGACAGGTGTAGTTCAAGATGGGAGAAGAATTTGGTGTGACTAAAATGAGCATGTGCATGTGCGTGTGTGTGTGTGCATGTGTGTGTGAGAGAGAGAGAAAGAGAGAGAGAGAATGTGGAGATAAGCTGGAGAATACAGAAGAGCCAAAGGACCCTAGCCCAGGGCTTCTTAACCTCGTCATCTTGGACATTCGGGAGTGGCATCCTGTGCACTGTGAGGAGGATGTTTCAAAGCCACCCTGGCTTCTACTTAACCCAATGTCAGTAGCACACTTCACCTTATTCCAGTTGTTACAACCAAAACACCCCCAGGCCTTGCCTAATGTCCTTGGGGCAGGAGTCTGAAGAACCATGGCACTACAGAAAGGAATTCAGTTTTGTTTTGTTTTGTGTCCAATTTGCCTGATCATATAAATGACCTAAGGGTGGTAGACAGGGAGCGCTTGATAAAACCACGCACCACAGGCCTTTCCGACCGAGGTTCTACTTTAGTAGATCTGGCCTGGGCTCTGGAGTCTGTAATATTAACAAGTCTCCTGGAGGGTTTTATGAACGGCACTTTGGAAACAGCACTACCTCCAAACCGATGGGAGCTGGCATTTGAGGGAAGTGGGCCTGGTCGGAGCTGGTCATGGCCTTTGCAGTGGTAGGTACAGGGCAGCTGTGGGGGTGTCTGTCAGGGAGACCATGAGCCAGGCACTGTCTGGCTCAAAGCTAGATGTGTGGTCCCTGATCCACAGCCTGTCTCACGTCAGTATTCAGTCAGTCTTTGTAGACCACGAAGCAGCCAGTCTGTCCGTGGTAACATGCGTGGGCCTCAAACCAAACTCGGAACCTGGTCGAGTAGCTCTATCCTGCTAGGTATCATTTGGTAAAGTGATACAGTCCCTTTTCCCAGCAACGCTGTGGTTAAATGTTTTGTGAAATCAAATACCCAAAGCTTGCCCTAGATTCTGACAGCTGTAGCTATTCCCAGCAGTGGTGTCGGGGCCCTGTCAGCATGGGGTGGGGAGTGGGTACCTCTGAAGAAGTTGTAGTTGACCAGGATAAGGCTGGCTGGACCATCCAGTTCTGAGAAGGTATCCACGAGTTTGCCCTGTGTCTTATTGTTGATGTACTCATTGATCTGTTTGCTGGCCCTGCTCCAGTCCTGAAGATCTGCTGTGAGGGCCTCTGACCCATAGTAGTGTCTGATGTCTGCTAAGAAGGACTCCCGTGGATGCAGCTTGTGGTCAAGGAATAAGCCGTTGCCCGTGGCCATTTCCAAGCCCATGTTTGACTCCCTGAGCAGCTGGTGCAGCTCTCTGAAGTTCTGGTGGATCTCGGTATCTGATGTCGTGCTGAGGTTGAAGCCCAGGCCCTGGAGAAGCTGAGTCCGAGTGTGTCCAGAGGAACCCAGTGCCAGCATGGCCAAGGCCGTGGAGATACTTACAGGGGAGATGAAGATGTTACTGTTTGTAGCCGAGGCCGCCAGACGCTGATACAGGCTGAAGGCAAAGTCTACGTTGGTGGGTGCCAGGCCCCGGTGAGGGCTCTCTGTGCTGGAAATGGCACCGGGGTCCTCAGCCTGGGCGGTCCAGAGGCCGCAGGTGCACAGGCAGAGGAGACAGGTGAACAGGATCTGCAGCATGGTCAGGATGGCTGGGCCCTGCCAAGTCAAGAATGCTCATGAGAGGCTGTGGTGGTGGCCTGGTCAGTGGAGCTCCATGCCACAGGAGATAGGTGAAGACCCCGTTCTGTCCCCAGTCCCTCCCTCCACACAGGCTGTGTGACCTGAGGAAAGGCATGGCAGGGCTCTGGGCTTCAGCTTCCCTAGCTGAAGAGGTGACTTCTGTGCACTGTGACTGATGGAGTGCCTTCTGGCCACTCAAGACTGATCTAGGTATTTTGCTTAATTTTGCTCATCTATTTATCACCAAAACATAAAGTAAATATTATTAACCCGAGTTTAGACACCCACAAGAAGATACTCAGTGAGGTTAGACACCCAGAATATTGCATATCTATTTTGATACACTTAAAATGCTGGAGGAAAAACAATAAAGTTTTCCATCAGGAATCTTATAGCTGGTGAGATCATCTTTTTAAAAACACAAGGAAGAAATTAAGACTTTCCTAGATAAAGCAGAGAGAGCTCAAAATCTGCCCAGAAAGAATTAAAAGATCCATCTCTTTTCAGGTTGAAAAGAAGAGACACTGGATATTTCCTGAAAGTTAGATTAAACAAATAAAAATTTCTGGTAAAGTTAAGTACTTGGGAAGTTTTCAAAGTTAGTATGGTTGTAATTTTAGTTTATATAACTTTTTTATATGTTGTTAAATATAATATGTAAAAGCAATTATTAATGTATACTTTGGAGGGACATACGCATGAAGATATGATTTGTGACATCAATAACTGAACAAGAGTAAGGATCAAGCTACAGAGAAGCAGTTTTATGTGTTATTTAGGTTAACATGTCATAAATTTAGAGTATGGTACTTCACAGGGTTAACCATAATCGCTATGGCAACTACAAAAAATAGCTAAAGTATGCGTGTAAAAGAGGGTGAGAGCCAAAGCATTTCACTTCAAAAGTAAACTAAATAAAAAAGAGTATAATAATATAGGAAATGAGGAATTAAAAAACCAGATGAGAGCTGGGTGTGGTGGTGCACTTCTGGAATCCAGCACTTGGGAGGTTGAGGCAGGTGGATCATTACAAGTTCGACACCAGCCTGGGCTACAAAGGCCAGACTGAGCCACATAGGGAGACCCTGTCTCAAAAAGACACAAAAATAAATAAATAAAAAAAATAAAAAGCCAGATGATGCATAGTAAACAAATAGCAAAATGTTGGAAGTAAGCCCTTCCTTATCAGTACTTTTACTATAAATGGGTTAAATTCTACAGAGGACTGAGATTGGCAGAAGGGACGTCATGGTTCACTTGACTGGGTTCAGGGAAGCCCAGGTTGCTGGCGTCTTAGTCCATTCAGGTTGCTATGAGAAAAATACTATAGGATGCTCTTTAGAGCAGTCCTAGAGGCTGAGAAGTCCAAAATCAAGGCACCAGCAGACCTGATGCTTGGAGAGAGCTTTTTAGCTTTATAGGAGGCACTCTTTCACTGTCCCCTTACTTAGTGCAGGGAGTGGTCGAGCTCTCACGGCTCCTAATAGTCACCTCCCCAGGACTTCACATCATGATACTGCCACAGTGGAGATTTCAATACATGGGCTTTGTAAATATTTGCAGACATTCATACCATGGCATCTGGTGGAACGTTGTTTCAGGGTGTGTCTGTGAACTGTGTAAAGGAGAGCCAACCTCAGCAACAGGAGCAGGTGCCCTCCCACTGAGGATGCAGAGAGAATCAAAGGGTGGAGCGAGGGAAAATTCTCTTTGTCTGTGAGCTGAGACATCACGCTCTGTCCGGGCACCTTGGAGCTCGTGGGTTTTGAGGCTTTGGACTCAGACTCCTGCCAGAGGCCCCATTCTATTCTCAGGCCTTGTGTTGAGTCTGGGGGTTACACCTGGTTCTCACCCTGGTTCCCTCCCTCTATAACCACATAGCCCTGTTCTCACAAATCTCTCCCTACCCACCCTTATTAAACCAGTGTTTAAATAAGGAAGCTCCAAGACCACCCATCTCCCTGGACCCCTCAGGGGTTTCTTACCTGGGATGTTCCAAAACCCAAACCTCAAAAGAACAGGTGCAGGCACCCCTAAGTCCCTGGTCCCTCTCTCAGAGCTCCCTGCCTGACTCTCCTTAGCTCTGCAGAGTGAAATCCCCCACTTTTCTACTTGATGACAGATAATGGTTGGGGCCTGCTCCCCACTCCAGATTTTACTGGGTCTTCACCCCCAGATCTGAATTCTGACCTTGATTCCTAAGTTTCAAGTGCAATTCTTCCCTTTTCCTGGGTTTTGTGGCATGGCAGGCTGGATTTAGAGCACTGCTGTTTAATCACTAAGTAACACAGGAAAGGTTGTTTAAGCTCTGCCTCAGTTTCTCCATGTAAAACAGTGGCAACAACAGTCCCCATGCCTGCTGGCCTGCTTTGTGGTGTTGTCTCCTTTCCTCCAGTCCCGGGGCACAGCCTAAGTTTGGGGTGCGGTGCCCCTTGCTGGACTCAGCAGTTGCTTCTGTCTGGTCTCTGGTTGGGCTTCACCTTCCGCTCAGCTTCCTCCAACCCCTCTCTCCTCTGCTGCCAGCTGCTTCTTTCTAAAATTTCCACTGAAAAGCTTTCATTGGCTCGCTGTTGCCCAGAGACTGATGCAACTGATCCCCACTGTGAGTTGGCCTGGGGGCCTTCATGAGCCCGGCCCTGATGACAGTCCTGCCCCTAGTCTTGATCTGGCCCCTGGAAGTTCAAGCTGCAGGCTTCTCCTGGCACACAGCACACTGTCATGCTGTGCAGGTCATATAGGTCCCCTGATATTTGCTGAGCCTTGCAGGACTGAGCCCCTGTCCTGGCCCTGCCCCATCCCCTCTACGCCTAGCCTGGCTCACCCCTTCATGGCCTTTGAGACTCATGTGCTAGGTCACCATATCTGAGGACCCTTCCTCTTCTTATTCTCTGTCCCTTCTCCTATGTCACATGCAGAGAAATCTGCTTCGGTGCTGGTCACTTCCACCCCAGTCTATGGCTGTGATCTCCTCCTGGGTAAGGACCCTGGGCAGCATGAGACCGGGAACAGGCTTGACCTCCCTTCCCTTCCTGCTGTCCCTGAGGAGATCAGATCTCTCCCACCTCATAAGACATCTGTGAATACCAGTCACAGCTGACATGCGCGATTGCCTTAGGTGACTTCCTGTTGTGTGGCACTGGGCCCATTTTACAGTTGAGAAGGGGGAGCCGAGGATGCCGAACAGCCTGGACAGGGCTGGGACCCCAAGGCCAGCAGAAGTCTGACTTCTGAGCCTGGATCCTCCCTCAGAGCTATTGAACTGCAAAACAACCCACATAGGTACCCAGCCATAGAAAAAATGAGAGGGTTAGCTCCATCTACACTGTCCTTGCCCCAGGTCACTCGGTGAGAGTTGTGGCAGATGCATGTGTGAGATGTTGGAAGATGTCCCTTGTGCTGGGCCAGCTCTGCACACCCTCCCAGGCTGGAATCCTTCACTGGGATGCCACTTGTTTCCTCTCTCTGCAGCTGTGCCTGCTGCTAGGCTGGGAGTGGATGGAAATGGAGCTTAGCTACAGCCCTCAGCCTCAGCCTCTGCAAGGAGAAATCAAGACCCCAGGGTGACTCCCAGATGCTGGGACCTGGGAAGTGCTCCAGAGTGGCCTGGTATCACTGCTGGCTCCCCTAATGGATCCAAACAAACAGGAAAGCTGCAGCCATTGTTTTGTTCTGGAGGACACAGGGGCAGGCATAGGGGCAGGTGCAGAAGCAGGGGTAGGGGCAGGGGCAGGGGCAGGGGCAGGGGCAGAGGCAGAGGCAGAGGCAGAGGCAGAGGCAGAGGCAGAGGCAGAGGCAGAGGCAGAGGCAGAGGCAGAGGCAGGTGAGCCCCAGGTTTTGCAGGGAGTCACTCACTGTCAGCGTGGGCTCGAGTTGCTCAGCTGGCTTGCTGCTGTGTACGTGTACAGTAAGCCAATGGAGACACTGCCCGCTAAATCTTGCTAGCCAGCTGCCCTGCTGGTTAATAGTTAGAGAGGGGCAGTGGCCTTCATCAGGCAGTGGTTCCCACCCCCAACCACTGGCCAATCAGAGTTTTTCCAGGAAATTTGAGTAAATATGGCAATGCCACAAATTAACTTTGTGGCCTTATTATTTGATATAAAAAGGAGGCTGAAATTGCACCAGTGTTTGTGGTTTCCCTGTGGAAGTGGGCAGAGAGCTCACCAGTGCCAGACACAGATGTCTATGAAAGCCCCTTGCGGGGCTCCAGTGGAGATGAGTCAGGCCTCTGTCAGCTGGGAGGGACAGCTGAGGTCTTTACCAGCCAAGTGCTTCTTGCAAGTCATCTCATGTACTCTTCACAATGATCCGATGGGTGATCTTTATTACTATCACACTTCAGATAAGGAAACCGAGGCACAAGGAGTGAGTAAGCTGCCCTTGGGTTCAAATCCAAGACCTTTGAACTCTAAAACCCAACACTTCCTCCACAGTGTTCTGTTGACCATTTCTCCTGGGATTGCAGGAGACAGACGCCAACCTCTATTTCAAACTTTAAAAAAAGTATTTATTGGTTTTCTGTTGAATAAGAATTCTAGAAGGTAGGAAGAGTTTCAGGCATGAGTGGATTCAGGGCTCTGGAACCCAGCATTTGATCTCCTCCTTTCTTTGCTCTGCTGTCCTCTATTTTCTGCTTTACTAGTCTATACTGGGAACAAAAGTGATTGCTGCGGTTCTGGGTTATTTGGTTCTAACTTTAATAGCAAGAGAGAAATTTTCTCTTGTGTTCATAGCCATCTTCCAAAGGACACTGGGTGTGACTGGCCATCCTTGGACTGATCACAGTGTCCAGAAGGATGGGGTGTTGTGAGCCAGAGTCCTGAAGTCTTTGGAGTGATAGCACATTACTTGTGGTCAGGAAAGCTATTTCTATGGGAAAAGAGGAAAGTGGGTCCCACAGCCAAACCTGCTATTTCTAAGCACCCCTATTCTATTAATTAGATCCTTTCAAATTTTCTATTCCATAAGTCAAATTTTAAAAATTTTAAATTTTAAAGTGAATAAAACAAAACAGAACAAAGCAAATCAGACAGAACAACGCAAGCAACATAGGACTTCAACACAAGACAACAGGGTATCAATAGTGGCTACCATAATGGTTCTTGTTTTCTTTGAGATAGTTGACCTTCACACACAATAGTATCAAACATAGCAAATTAGTATAAAACCAATTAAAAGGATGAAAGCATTACAGGACTTCAAAACCAGATAGCAGGAAATGAACAATGGTTATTATAATATATCATTTTCTTCAAAAAATTGTCCAGACTATCACACATAATAAAATTAAATAAAACATGGCAGAATAGAACCAATCAAAACAGATAAAAGCATGATAGGACTTCAAAACAAGATGATAGTGAATCAGCAATAGCTACCATAATGTCTCATTTTCTTCAAAATAGGTGTTCATATCATCTCACATAATAAAATTAATCAAAACAGAATAAAACCAATTAAAGGAATGAAAGCATTATAAGACTTCAAAACAAGATAATAGGAAACCAACCATGATTACCATAATACATCCCATTATAATCAAAATAGCTGCCCATACCATCAGCCACAGTAAATCTAACTAAACAAGATGGAACAGAACCAATCCTAACAAAATTGTGAAAACAATACAAGAGTTCAAGACAAGAAAATAGACATTAACAGTGGCTTCCACCTTCCCCTCCTAGGTGTTTCCTCCTCTAACACTTTTACAATATCTATTGTGCTTTTTGGATCCCATTAATTATTTCTGTTTATTTATGCTAGGGTTTGAGTTCAAACAGTTTTGCACATGAACATGATCTCCACTTGCATCCATTTACGTACAAGAGCCTCAAGATTATTCTACTTTATAGCTGGGTAGCTTTCCATTGTATGAAAATACCGTATCTTTCTTATCCATTGTGCAGTTGATGGGCAAGTTACTTTTGCTTTTTTTCTGGTTTCCTGTCACGTGGAACAATTGTTTTCTCTCCTTTGATTTTCAGTCTATGAATTTCCTGTCCACTTAAATGTGTTTCTTGTGTACAGTGTATCAATGGATCATGTTTTTTTTTTAAATCGGTACCAGGGATTGAACTCATGACTGTGTGCTTGCAAGGCAGGCGCTTATGCTGCTGAGTTAAACCCCCAGCTCCCGGATCATTTTTCTTAATCCACTCTCCCTGTGTTTGTTTTTATTGCTGAATTGAGGCCATGTATCTTAATGGTTACAACCAGCATGCATTGGTTTGTCTCTGCCATGCTATCATCCTGCTGTTGACCCTCTACTTTTCCCCTTCATTCAATTGCCTGTGTTGTTTGGTGATCCTCCTCTGCTGCTGTTCTTGGAATCATGGTCATCTTTCTCTCTTTCTAGAATATCCTTTAGCACTCTCTGTAGGGTTGGTTTGGTGGTCATGAATTCCTTTAGTTGTTCTTCAACATGAAAGTATCTTATTGTTCCATCAATTTTGAAAGATAGTTTTTCAGGATATATCAATCTGGATTGGAAGCTGTTTTCTTTCAGGATTTGAAACACTTCATTCCAAACTCTTCCTGACTTAATGATTTGTGTTGAGAAGTCTTCCATGATTCTGATTGGTTTTCTTTTATAAGTAATCTGTTTCTTTACTCTAATAGCTTTTAATGTTCTGTATTTGTGCTGAATCTCTGGGATCTTGATTACTATATGTCTGGGTATAGATTTACTTTGGTTATGGCTAATTGGAGTTTTATATGCCTCACTTATCTGTTTGACAGGTTCTTTTTCCATGTTTAGGAAGTTTTCTGCCATTACTTCTATAAATGGCCTTTTAATTTCATTTGCATTGATCCCTGCTTCTTCACCTACACCTATCACTCTTAGATTATGCTTCTTTTCATCATCTTGCAGCCGCTGAATTGTTATTTCCTTATTCCTTGTTAATTTTTAAGAGATCTTTCCTTTCACGATTGCTAGCTGCAATTTTATCTTCAAGGTTTGAAAGTCTATCTTCATTTTCTTTTAGTGGTTTTGTCAGCTTTTGATTGACTTTCTAATTTCTTGGATATCTCTTTGAATCTGTTTCATGCATTGTAATTCCTTTCTATGTTGTTCATTCAAGGTTTCTATCATTTTCCTATGCTCCTCTTTTTATGCATGTCTTCTTTAGACCTGTTGAACAATTCTTTCATTATGTTTTTGATTTCTTCTTTTACCTGAGATATTATTTCTGATTTGATTGCACTTTAAAATCTCATGAAGTTGTTTTACTTGAATTGCTATCCTTTCAGAGATTTCAGGTGTGTGATTTCCATTTTCTTTCATGACTATATCTCTCAAACTTGTTCTGTGTGAGCTGGAGATCTGAGATTGCCTTTTACTTCTTTGTCTAGACATTCTCCTGGGTTCTTTCCAACAAGCTGGTTGTGGTACCCCAGACACTTCCCTCTTTGGCTGCCCCTCCATGGTGTAGGAGAATGGGACAGGCACCTTGTTTTCTTTGACCCCAGATTTACACAGAGACAGCAGAGTGTGGAATGGCTTTTTCCAGACCTGTGCAGCTACCCTGGGGCTTCCCCATTGGTCAGGTGTGTGTGGAGGTGGGGCTGCTTCTCTCAGCCTGTGTGTCTACACTGAGACTACCATGATGATGGCAGACACATGGATGTGTTTGTTTGATTCTTCCAGTGGGTGATGGCTGGCTGAAAGAACAAGGGCTTCCAATGGTGGCCTATGGGTGCATCGGGCTTATCTGGCTGCATGTCCCTGTTCCTGCTGTCTGCCTGCAGGAAGGAGCCTTCTGGTGGCAGCGCCAGCAAATGGAGGCAGAGCTGCTGGCTCTCTCTGCCTGCACTGGCTGCCCACAGGAAGGAGCTTCCATAAGTCAGATTTTCAATTTATATCTAAGAATTATGTCTTCTAGATTTTTGGATTAAATACTGAATATGTATTCATAAATGTCTATCATCCATAAACACCCATTATTATTTTTAAATTATTTTATGTCAGTATTCTTTTTTAAAAAAATTTTTAAAGAGAGTAAAACCAAGGAAAATAAAACAGAATAAAACCAATCAAAATAAACTAGTATAAGTGATACAGGACTTCAAACCCTTATGACATCAACAATAGTTACCATAATGCCTTTTATTGTCTTCAAAATAACTGCAGATACCTCTGGACACAGTACAAATCCAACAGAACAGAATGGAACAGAAACAATAAAAGCAAAACAATGAATGTAATGAAGGACTTCATAAGAAGCCAATAGTAAACCCAAAATGGCTACCATACTATGTCTTGCTATCTTTTAAATAGCTACTCATGCCATCAGATTTGATACAATCAAACAAAACAAAAAAGAATAACACCCACCCCAACAAAACAATGAAAATGATACGGTTTCCAGGTAGGAATCAGGTGAGGCCTGGTTCTCTCTCTCTGCAGTCTGTAAATAGCCAGTAATTCTTTTCTTTTGGTTCTACTTTTTATCTACATATTTTGCATCTTTTATCCCCTTAGACAGTCTTATCTGAGGGCTGAGGATGTAGCTCAGTGGTACTAATGCCTGCTTGGCAAGCACAAGATCCTGAGTTTGATTCCTGATACAAACAAACAAACAAACACCCCCCCAAAAAGTCTTGAGAAATTTGTGTAGCTAATTGATTTTTTCAAAGATTTAACTTTTAGTTTGTTCTTAGTTTTAAAAAATATGTTATCAACTTCTGTTTTTAATTTGTTAAACCATCTTTAAAAATTCTTTGTGTGTTGATCTATTTTTTTCTGTTTTCTATTTTTTTGTTGATCTATTTTTCTGTTTTCTATTTTCTTGAGATAAAGATTTAATTTCCTTATATTTAACATTTCCATTCTCTGAATAAATGTATTTTGAAGTTGAAAGTTTTCCTCTAAGTATAATACTGATTTTTCTATGTCCCACAAAATTTTCATAGTAACTTTTCTCACATGGGGATGCTTAGCGGATCCTGGGGC